TTAGTAAGTTTCAATATTTCTAAGTTTTATAACAATGTTTTAATTAGGTGTTCCAGTGGTTGATGATTTTATGGCTACATTAATTACAACTTCTGTCATGACACTAACATGGAGTCCACCAATTGCTGTAGTACCAACTAGTTATAATATTAATAGGAGATGTAGGAGAGTATGTGACTCATCAGTCACTAGTAATAGCACAACATCAATTTCATCACCACATACTTCAACTGGTATACCTTCTTACAGTCAATGTGGCTTTGATCTTATTGGAGTATATGGAACTGATCTACCTTTTTTGACTACTAATTATTTAGCTACTACACTTTCTACTGGTAAAAAAACGATACAGTAATGTGTACTGTCATTATGCTTCCAATAGTCCCTACTGCACAAGTGGATGATATTATATTCTCATCAGTAGAGTCAGTGTCAATGACTGTCTCATGGGATGAAGTACCTTGCAATGGAAGGAATGGACCAATCACTGGATACTACCTCACATACACTAACATCACTTCAAACACTAGTTATACTGTTAATATCACTGGAGGAGACAATAGAATGTATAATCTCACAGGATTAATACCTTATACTAACTATACTGTGAGTATAATACCTTATAATTATAATATGAATGGACCAGCTAGACAAGAAATACAATTAACTACTGAATCAAGTAAGTCAATGAGATATTGATCAGTTTAACATAATTTTAACACAGTTCCTGGTGTAATATCTGATCTAGGACATTCAAGTCCACCAACTGAAATTGTTATTTCATGGAATCCTCCTACAATACCTAATGGTATCATTACAGTATATGAGATAAGATATAGAGAGTCTACCAGTACTGATCCATACAATATAATTAACACTACTAACACTTATTACAGTATATTAGGATTGATACCTAATACTAGTTATACTATTGGAGTGAGAGCATATACTAGTATTGGACCAGGAGAATGGACTGATAGAGAATACACTAGTATTGAAATACGTAAGAAATTACTGAGAATACTATGATGATAATGTTTTAAAATTGTTAGCTGTCATTCAAACCTTTTCTATAACAAAGATCAATTCTACAGCAGTGAGGGCTGAGTGGGGTTTTGTTTCTGGAGCTAGTCATTATACTGTCTATTATGAGTCAACCAATAGCTCCTCAAGAAAGAAGAGACAAGTAGAGACAGAAATAAGAGTATTCCCAGGTGATACTACTGAAGGTCTAATAGGAGGATTAGATCCTAATCTGAACTACTTGTTCTCTATATCTATATCATATAATGTTAATGGAATCATTTATGAAGGAGAGAGGACTCAACCAATACCACCAAGTAATGCTATTCTAAGTCACTCCATGAATAATACTCAGTTCATTTATGTAGGTGTTACTGTTACAGGATCATCAACAAGTAAGACTAGTACTTTTAGTTTTTGTTTGTTTTATGGGTATTATTGTAACTGTTACTGTAATATCAGGAACTTCAGTGGTGGACACTTCAAGTAAGCCTGCGGTAGCATAAATGATCACTCTGCTGTTTTTTATTGACAGTTATGTCACATATAGATTTAGTGCCAAGTATAACTGTGATACAAACAATAAGTAATTGAGCAACCAGTACATTAATTACATGATAGTCACACTGTAGGTACTTCAATAACAAGTTTAGTGCCAAGTGTAACTATGAAAAAAACAACAGGTTAACTACTGATATGTCACTCAATCACATGAAAATCATATATACCATAGGTGGTGCGCCAATGACAAGTATAATATCAAGTATGACTGCATTCACTGCCATGTCAGTGTCAAAATCAAGTAATGTTGTATGATAATTTTTTTATTGATAATTAGTATTACTGGAATGAATCTTTATGTTTTATAGGTACTCCTATGTTGCCTACTACTGATGAAAGTTTAATGACTATTTACATAGCAGCTGGAGCTATTCTACCATTACTACTGATAGTCATAATAATTGTAATCATCATTATAGCTGTGCTGATTTCAAAGTAAGTGTGTCTTAAGTTAACGATACTTATTAATGGTAACAGGAAGAAGAGAATTAAAAAGAAATACTATATAGCTACTAAAGATAGCACTGATAAAGGAACAGCTACTGAACTCAGTGTATCATGTTATAGTACATATAATAATAACAATGGAGGACATGAAGAAATTGGATGTAAGTTGACCTATATTAACATATGAACATAGATGCACTAATTTATTATTATATATAGTAGACACTATTCAAGAAGCAACCTACAGTACTGTAATGAAACCTATACTACCAGTGATAGAAGAATTCCCTAATGATGTGACATCTAAAGAAGGTCGTCAGGTCCTTTTTGAAGTTAAAGTTAAAGTTAGAGGAAATTCAAAACCATCTTTTAATTGGTATCATAATGGAGAGCCAGTGACTGATGATTATGCTCATGAGCTGAGAGGAGATGGTAGTCTACTGCTAGTGAGTGTTGAGGAGAAGCATAAAGGAACATATTGTTTTGTTGCTAATAATGATGCTGGAACAGTTAGTCAACAAGTTGTACTCACAGTTGCAGTGGAGGGAAGTGATGAGAGCAGGTTGTTACATGGCGACTCATCCTGTGCTAAGATTGGTATGATTCCTGTTGATAAATTTGGAGAATTTGTTGCTAACGGACACGCTAAAGGAAACGAAGGATTTAGAAACCAATTTGGGGTAAGATGTTTCTCTTTATTTCCTTTTTATACTTGTCTCATATTTCTCGTTTCATTTATGATTCTATAACTTTTATGTTATTATTGCTAATAGATGTTAGACTGTGGTGAGAGTGAACACACAGTAACAGTTGGTCTTACTCCAAGCAATAAACTGTTGAATCGCTTTGCAAACATTGTAGTTTGTGAGTTATCACTAAAACAACATTGTCATTGAAAGATACACTTACTGTATATACAATCATTTGCATAACGCATTACTGTTATTGTTGAGAATATTGGCTACTATTGTCAAATGAGCTTAATATACACAGTACTGCAAAGCTATCCCATTTAACTGTTACTCACTCATGCACATTAGCTGATAGTTTAATTCATTCATTAAGGATCATATAAAAATTATTATTTTTTTACAGATGATGACAATCGTATTACACTAAGGCCAATGTCAGGCCATAAGGATTGTACAAATGAATACATCAATGCATGCTTCATTAAGGTAAGTCAGTAAATATCATGTTTTATCATGACATACATAGTTTAATATTATAATGTATTTGTGCATATTAAGATATTGTTGTTGGTTTGTGATGAATTTGTTTTGACATTAGGATTACTCTAATCAATATCAGTATATAGCAACACAAGGTAAACAAGTTACTATTTCCCATACATTGTTTATCACAAGTTGACAGTCTTGATAGACTGAAGGGATACATGTAATCCATCATCACTTTCAATAACAAGGAATTATAAACTACTGATAGTCAGACTTGAATGACATGTATTAGCTATGATATATTTTCTGCTTTATATTTTAAAGTT